TTCGGGGGAACAATAACCTATAAGATGCACACTTAAAATTAGTCATTTTCCCAATATTCTCAATGTGGCACGTAATTTTCTAAAAAACCTCAGAAAGACCTGTTTTCTGAAATTCTTCAAAGTCATGCTAGGGATGTGTTATATAATTTCTACATTTATAACATCCCTCATATTATTGACTGTATTTTTGTATATACCCTTGTATTAGTTATCTGTCATTAGTTGTCATTTTAAATCTGTTACGTTTGAATTTAGTGAATAAAAGCCTACAGTTTGAAAGGTTTTCATTACAGGGTGAAAAAATTTTTTCTCGTGAAAGAACATGCCAGAACCTTGTAGAGAATGAATCGAAGTTTCCGAAATCCCCCTTCCATTTTCTGAGCGGCCATTTGTTCCTGAGATATTGACGAGAGAAGAAGAAATTACGCATTTTCGTTTATTTTCTGATAACTCAGCAAGGAAAGGTCATCTCGAGGCCATCGAAAAAAGGAATTGAAGCTAACTGAACCACCTATCCAATGCTTATAGTGATTATGTCGAGAAAAAGTTTTTCAAGTCCGTACACTAAAAATAAAAAAAAAAAATTCAAAAATTTTCTATCCATGATATTCATCAGTATTTTGTACTAATTGTTGGTTGGAATTTTTTTATCGCAAGACACTTTAAGTTTTAAATTTCTTTTTTTTTTTTTTTTCATTACGTACGACTATTTTTACCAAAGATACAGCCACTCGAAAAATCGCAAAAAACCGAGATTTTTTTGATCCCTTAATTTTTTCCACTAGTGTATAAATAACAATCTGTATCCACGTGAAAGAAATGTCATAAAACATTTCTCATTTTGATTATTTCTTGGCAATAAAGTATGAATAGGTACGATTGGGTATGATTGGTTTAAAAATAAAAGTAACGGTTTTTACCATTTATCATTTTTCAAATAGTTATTGTTTTATTATAATAATATTTTACTATGTCTTTATTTTAAACCAATTTTAAATCTGTTAAATGCTGATTTATACTGTCATGTTTGCTGGTCAAACGTAAAAATTAACAATTTCAATTTATATCTCGAAATTTGAAACGCATTTAATTACGTCTGATGGGGTAACTCTGTTGTGGAAACATTGGATTATTTATCACCTGCTAATGAAATAAGTAACTCGGTTAATCCTTAAAGTTTTACGAATAGTTCTATAATATATATACATGATAATGTAAAGTAATGGAAGACCACTGTATACAGAACAATTCAACAAGATCATAAGAAAATTAAAAATCTCACGATTGTATATTTAAAATAAAAAAGAATCTAAAAAAAATATTAAATTTTAATTCATTACATTCTACTGTGAAAAAAGCAACTTTTTATAGAAATTATTTTTAATATCAAATATATTACATATAGTCCAATTAACTAGACCTTTAAATCAAAATTTTGGAAGAAATACAGGAATTTTTGATATGAATCACTTTAAGAGTATTTGAAAACGATAGGTAAAAAAAATTTGTTTTTCAGGCACTGGCAAATGTCAAAAAACAAGAAAATAAAGTGTTTTTTAAGGTTATTTAAAAACGGTACGTGCTATCAAAAAAAGTTTTTAATAAAAATTGTAAATCATAAAGTTTTACATAAAAATGATATTTGACATTTTTTGCTATTATTAAAACTGACAGAGTTAGGGTGGTTAGAAATTAAGAGGAGATATATATGACTTGGAAAAATCATAGCAAGCTGAAAATTCAATGACCTTGTAGTTTCTTTTTATTTACTCAGAAAATTATAAATTTCTTTTAAGAAAAAATATTTTTTTCGAGTTATAACAATTTTAATTTAAAAATTTTCAATATATTATACGAATTTATATGGTAAAAGAAATTTTGAAGTAAACTTATTAGCTTGACTGACATAAAAAATATGGGGAATGAACTAATAAAAACGACAGTTTGGTCCCCACTTAAAGTTCCATTAAATAAATAAAAATAAAAACAAACAAAAAAGAACTAAATAAAAATAAATATAAATAATTAATAAATACAAATAGGTAAATTAAAAAAAAAATTGAAAATAAGTAAATAAAAAGATAAAAGTAAAAGAAAATAAATACAAATAAATAAAAATAAATAAAAACAAATAAAAATAAATAAAAATAATTGTAATTAAAAAATTAAATAAATAAAAATAATTAAAAACAAATAAATATGAATAAAAATATTTAAAACTAAAAAACTAAAAAATGTAAATAAATAAAAACAAATAAAAATAAATTAAAATAAATAAAAAAAATAAATTAAAATAAAAAAATAGTTAAAAAACAATCAAAATTTAAATAAATAAAAATAACAATTAGTTAAACAAATTAAATAAAAATAGGTAAATTATTAAATAAAAATAAATGAGAAAATTAATAGATAAAGATATAAAAAATAAACTAAAAAATATAAATAAAAGAAACTGAATAAAAATAATAAAATAAATATAAATAAAAATAATTAAAAAAGTGAAAAAATTAAATTAAAAAAATTATAAAAAATAAATAAAAACAAATAGAAAAAATAAAAATATAATTTGAAAAAATATTTTTTTATTTTTATTTACTTTCTTTTACATTTATCTTTTCATTTATTTTTATTTATTTTCTTTTACACTTATCTTTTCATTTATTTTTGTTTAATTTTATTTATTTTTGTTTTATTTTTGAAAATTTACCTAATTTTATTTAATTTTTTTATTTATTTGTTATTTTTATTTATTTAATTTTTTTGTTTATTTATTTTTATATATTTATTTTTATTTATTTATTTATTTTTTAGTTTTTTGTTTTAATTATTTTTATTTATTTGTATTTATTTATTTTTTAGTTTTTTGTTTTAATTATTTTTATTTATATTTATTTGTATTTATTTATTTTTTATTATTTGTTATTTTTGATTTTTTTAACTATTTATTATTTTTTTTATTTAAAGTTTTGTTTATTTTTTAATTATTTTTATTTATGTTTATTTATTTTCTTTTACATTTTTCTTTTCATTTATTTTTTGTTATTTGTTATTTTTAATTTTTTTAACTATTTATTATTTTTTTATTTAAATTTTTGTTTATTTTTTAATTATTTTTTTTATTTTTATTTGTTTTCATTTTTATTTATTTAATCTACCTTCAAGTGGGGACTTAAAAAAACAAAAAAAAATTTTCTTAAAAGATATTTATAATTTTCGGAGATAAAATCATTGAATTTTCAGCTTGCTATGATAAAAGAAAAAGAAAATAAATAAAAATAAATAAACCTAAAATTTAAATAAATAACAAATAGTTAAAAAAATTAAATAAAATTAGGTAAATTTTTAAAATTAAAACAAAAATAAATAAAAATAAAATAAAAAAAATACAAAAAAAATAAATAATAAAAAAATAAATAAAAATAATTACAAAGAGTTAAAAAATATTAAATAAAAATAGGTAATTTATGAAAAATAGAAATTAAACTAAAATAAATGAAGACATAAATGTAAAAGAAGGTAAATACAAATAAAAAATATTTTTTCAAATTATATTTTCATTTTTTCAATTTGTTTTTATTTATTTTTAATTATTTTATTATTTTCATTTTTTCATTTTTTAAATTATTTTTATTTATTTATTTTTTAATTAAAATTATTCTTATTTATATTTATTTTATTATTTTTATTCATTTTCTTTTACTCTTATCTTCTCATCTATTTTTATTTAATTTCTTTAACTAATTGTTATTATTTTTATTTATTTAAATTTTGATTGCTTTTTAACTATTTTTTATTTTAATTTGTTTTTATTTATTTTTATTTCTTTAATTTTTTAATTACAATTATTTTTATTTATTTTTATTTATTCTTATTTATTCTTATTTATTTTTATTTATTTTTAGTTAATTTTATTTATTTTTATTTATTTTTATATATTTTTATATATTTTTATATATTTTTATATATTTTTATTTATTTTTATTTATTTTTATTTATTTTTATTTATTTTTATTTATTTTTATTTATTTTTATTTATTTTTATTTATTTGTATTTATTTTCTTTTACTTTTATCTTTTTATTTACTTATTTTCAATTTTTTTTTAATTTACCTATTTGTATTTATTAATTATTTATATTTATTTTTATTTAGTTCTTTTTTGTTTGATTTTATTTTTATTTATTTAATGGAACTTTAAGTGGTGACCAAACTGTCGGGATGTCGTTTTTATTAGTTCACTCCTCATATTTTTTATGTCAGTCAAGCTAATAAGTTTAGTTTAAAATTTCTTTTACCATATAAATTCGTATAATATATTGAAAATTTCTAAATAAAAATTGTTGTAACTCAAAAAAATTTTTTTTCGTAAAAGCAATTTATAATTTTCTGAGTAAATAATAAAATAATAAACAGAAACTACAAAATCATTAAATTTTCAGCTCGCTATTCCAAGTCATATATATCTCTTCCTAATTTCTAACCACCCTAACTCTGTCAGTTTTGATAATATCAAAAAATGTCAAATATCATTATTATGTAAAACTTTATGATTTACAATTTTTATTAGAAACTATTTTTTATAGCACCCACCGTTTTTAAATAACCTTAAAAAAACACTTTATTTTCTTGTTTTTTGACATTTGCCAGTGTCTGAAAAACAAAATTTTTTTACCTATCGTTTTCAAATACTCTAAAGTGACTTATATCAAAAATTCCTGTATTTCCTCCAAAAGATCTATTTGATTGGACTAATATTTGTATTATCTGATAAAAAAGTCACTATCAATTTGTGGTGAAAATTGTCTCAAATCACCCCATCTGACGTTGACATTTTAAACAATTACATTTCGTTTATTGTTTAAGTCTTTCAATAAAAAATAAAAAGTGATCAACGAATCGAAAGATCGCACCCTGTTACATAAATAAATCCAGTATTTATATTAATTAAATATATAAAATTAATTATTGGTCTATACCCTATCAATTAAAAATACATTATCACTCTTTTTTTAACTTTGACATACTCATCAAAAAATGTTTTCAACTCATTCATAAATGCACTCATTTTCCCCCTCACACTGTGGCACTGTTTAAGTTGATGAAAGCAAGTACTAGAACATTGAAGAATCCTTTTGTCCGTCTGGAGGAGCCACATCCTATATAAAAAAAAAATGCAATTTAGTTTTTCTTTTTTTACAAAATACATGAAAATTCAAAAATATAAAAAGGTACAATACGACATATTAGTGATATAATTTTGGTTCTACTGAGAATTAAGGTGGCAATTTAAATTTAATCTATTTCAAATACCTTTTTTTGTTGTTAAAATCAAAATAGGTATGGTTGGCACAAAACTATTTTAGAAAATGCAAATAATACTTATTATTTCAAAAACAATAATAGTCTAATCAACAAGTTCAAAAGCATGTTTTTGGGACATACTATTACGAAAATTATGTTCAATAGCTAATTCGATTCGGAATAATGTCTAGATCAATGTGTGAAGAAAATTTGGCAGTGCATAAAAAATTACAAAAGTTATAAACAATTAAACACCTCAAAAACATGGTGTTTGGTTTTTCGCCCATAGTTTGTAAACTATAAATATTTTTGGATTTTTTAAAAAAGATCCTTAAAGAGGAGGAAATTTGCTATAAATAAGTTCCGACTCCCGGAACTGTACCTCCATTATTTATAAGTTTAATTTAACGCTCAAAGTAGCCATTTTTAGATTGTGCGCACGGCGTCGAAACCGAGTACGTTACATAAAATAATTTTTTTAACTAAATAAAATTAAATTCAAAAATTTAAAAAAATTACACTTAGAAGAATTCATTCTCGTTGGAATTTTTCATAAAAATTAATTTTCCAACAAAGTAGGTTATTGTTAATTAACAAAATTTTTAGAATTTCTCTCATTATTACAAATTGATAAAAATATTAAATAATTACCGTAATTTTTTTTTGTTTTTTGGAGCTCTTTATATACATATAAAACAAAATAGCTTTATAAAAGTTTCAAAGATGTTAATACTTTGTTTATAATACTATAGTGTATCAACGTATAATAAAAATGATGGCACACTTTTTTATATTAATAATAACTTAGAAGTTAACGTGAACATAGTAAAATTTAGCGAAGTTAATGTCTTAAGACTATTAGGTGAAATAAATGGCGCAAATTATGCAGTTATTGCATGTTATAGACCACCGTCTTTAAACGCCAAACAATTCGATTTCGAGAATTGTTTTTTAAATTTACAAAAGTCTAAGATAGAAATATTTGCTGAAGATACTAACTTTGATATATTAGTTGCCGGGGAGAATAACTTAGTCGATTCTTACTTAAATGTATTAAATCAACAAGGTCTTTTTCATTATATAGACGTAGTAACGAGGCAAGAAACAAATACCTGCATAGATCATTTTTTTGTAGGTTTAGATAATAAAATAAAAAGTAAAACTAATATTAAGCCATAATTATTTGAGACATATAACGGATCATTATACCACATTTATTTCGATTAGTAATGAAAAAAATAATAAATTAAATGAAAATAATATTCGACAGTTCAACAATAGTATATTATGCAACGATCATGTAATGATGGTTATTAATACACGAGCATTAACCGGGATACGAAACGAGCCAAAGGCGAGTTTCGTATGGTTTATGCGAGTGTTTTAATAACCATTACATGAGAGTTGCATACGCTATTTTTTCTACACCCGATAAATAATCAAGACCTATAAATATTATATTTATATTGGCATTGAACACAATAACAGTAATTACTCGTATTTCTATAAAAAATTCTACAAAATTGTAATTAATGGTATTACTTCAGGTATTGGTATTTCCCTAGATTTTTGCGGTAAAATATTTTGTACTGTATTTTCTGCTTTCTCCGATATGTGTGGAGGAGTCTTCTATATCGCTAATATCAGACATTTTAATATTATAATTATCGAAGTTTAGCTACCTACGAAAATTTAATACGTTTTGACAACTAAAATAATTACATAGGAACCTAGGACAAACGTCAAACAGCATGCTTGATTGAAAAATTGTAGGTTTCTATTGATTAAAAATCTGTATCGTAATGAAAAATCTGTATCATAATGGGTATCATTATGAAACGGATTATGGGCATATAAGTGCATTATTATAATACGGGTGTAGAAAAAATTAATTATGAAACATACAGAGATCTGGAGTCTGAAAAATGGACTAACGTTTTTAACAGCAATGATACTGAACAAAGCTATAATGAATTTATTAAACTACTTCAAGAACATATTACTAAAAATATTAAACAAATTAATAGAAACAATAATAAAAATTATAAGATCAAACCGTGGATTACCTTGGGCATAATTAAATCTATAAGACGTAGAGATTACCTAAAAAAACAATATCTTAGGAATAAAAATAGTAATGAACTTCTGCAAGAATACAAAAGGTACCGAAATTAATTAAAGAAGTAAAAAATAATTACTATCAATCTGAAATTACAAAAGCAAAAAATAATTATAAAAAAATTTGGGACACAGTAAAAAAGGCATTTAATACAGAAAAAAATAACAAAAAAGAAAGTTACAACATCATAAATGAAAAGGGAGAAAAGTTAAATGTAATAAAACTAAAGCAAATGTATTTAATTATTTTTTTGCAGAAATAGGTAATAAAATGATATGATAATCCTAATATAACTGCTTCTACTAAAACTATAACCCATAATTCTAGTGGCCATTATCTGTTTATGTACCCCATTAAAAACAACGAATTAATAAAGCATATATCACTATTAAAAAATAAATCGGCAAGTGGCATGGATGGATTATCGGTAACTACAATTAAAAATATGCACCCTTACATCTTAAACCCGTTACCACACATTTTCAACCAAATATTAACCACTGGCAAAATACCAATATCATTTAAAGAATCTGTAATAACACCCGTCTATAAATCAGGAAAAAAAGAACTAGCCACTAACTACAGGCCTATATCAGTCATAAATAATATTTCAAAACTTTTTGAGCAATGTTTAAAAAAAAGGTTAGTGGAATTTATTGAACAAAACAAAATATTAAGTACAAGTCAATATGGTTTTAGGAAAAATATTTGCTGTCAAGATGCGCTTCTAGACTTTGTGCAAAATATTATTAATGGTATTGACAACAATAAAAAATGCCTAGCGATATTCTTAGACTTAGCCAAGGCATTTGACACTGTTGATCACAGATTGTTGTTGGAAAGATTAGAAATAATAGGTATAAGAGGATTAACGTTGGACCTTTTCAGGGACCTATCTATCACAGCGAACCCAATTCGTTAGAATTGGTAGCCTACTTATATAGTGACTCAATGACCGTTTGTAGGGGCGTGCCTCAGGGAACGGTACTTGGCCCAATTCCTTTTTTAATATACATTAACTGTATTTATAATATTAAAAATATAGGAAAAATTATTTCTTATGCAGATGATACTGTCATTATCTATAAGGGGGAGAGCTGGAAAGAAGTCTTTCTAAAAGCTGAGGATGGTTTGAGTAAGATAAAGATGTGGCTTGATAATAGTCTCAATGTCTCCAAAACAAAATTTATTACATTTTCACTAACAAATGCTGATCAACCAAATCAACAGATTTTAAATCTTCACAATCATAACTGCAATAAAGGACCGATTTGTCAGTGTGTAACGATACAAAAAGAAAATAAAATATTTGGGGTAATGGTTGATCAACATCTGAGATGGAACGAACATGTAATTTTTTTAAACAAGAGATTAAGAAAACTTATATATTTATTTTATCAAATTCGAGATATTCTTAAAAAAGAACTCCTACTACTTATTTATAATGCCTTGGCTGAGTCGCTGCTAAGATATGGCATTCTAATATAGGGTGGGCTTCTAAACAACGCTCTCGATGGACTGGACTCGACACAGACTACGTTGTTAAAAATATTGTTCAGAAAGGACCTTAGATATCCAACAAACCTATTATATAAAGAATTAGACATTTTCAATATCAAACAACTATAATATATTTACCAAACATCTTTATGGGCAATTTCTAATACTGAAAAACTTCCTAAGCTTTCACACACTGCTTCCACAAGAGCTCTACTAAATAAGCATATGCCAATTCCTCTTTTTACAAAAATGCACACCCAAAACTTTATCTCGTATTTTGCCCCCAAAATATATAACGTAATTCCTACGTACATAAAAAATATTACAAATGAACGATCTTTAAAAAATGAACTTAAAATATTTGTACAGAAAAACTACAGTAAAATTAAGAAGGAAATATTTAATGTTTTATATTAATTTTATGCTACATAATTACATATTCTTCAGTATCAGAAAGTAGCCTTTCTTTTCTTTTTCTCTATTAGTCTTGTATTTTATATTTTTATAAATTTTATTATTTTTGCTATTTATTATTTTTGATATTTTTATAATTTCTGCTAATTTTTATTTTTATAATTGTTTTGACTTTTGTATTTCCATATTTCTCTATCTTTTTCTTTTTTTTTGTTGTATTTTAAAATTCTAAATTCTTTGTTTTTGTTTCTATAGTATATACTTAGATATAATTTAAACAGCATTTATAAAACGTAAGAAAAAACTAATATAAAGATTCCGCACACAAACTTTGTTAAAAAAAATGTAAATTATTTTAATAAATAAATTTGATTTGATTTGATAATAATTTTTTAAAGTTTACAAAAACAGAAAAGTCACAGTGGTGCTATAATTTTTTTTTTTTAATTTCTAATCATACTATTTTAATGTCGAGAAAAGACATTTATTAATTAAAAAAAAAATTTTCCTCCAAAATGGAGTATTTCAAATTTTTTCAAATTTTTGTTTTTACAACTTTCCAGACAATTACCAATTATGATTTAAAAAAAAATTGTTTTTCTTAATAATAACTTTTATTGTTTATAATCGTTTTTTAATATATCTATTGTTTAAATTAGTTAAGAAATGTGTTTTTATTTAAATCATAATTGACAGTCCTCTACAAAGTGACAGCAAAAATTTTTTTTATTTATAATTCCATTGTTTATTAAGTTAACAATTTGTTATAAACAAATTCCCAACTTTGGTTCATTTTTTTCCTGAAAGAAATAAAAATTCCAA